CCCCTCCCTCCCCCCCCCCCCCCACATCCCCCTTCTGTTCTGTAATGTGATTTGTCCTTTTCATGTGTGTTCATTTTTTTTTAAATTGTATCCTTTGGTATATATGGTTGTGACTATTTTCTTCCACTATTTGATCTGAGGAAGTGGGTCTGGCCCACGAAAGCTCATCATCTAATAAACCATCTTGTTAGTCTTTAAAGTGCTACATTGTCCTGCATTTTGCTTCAGCTACCCCAGACTAACACGGCTACATTTCTATCACTATCTGTAAGAAGAGGTATTCACGCCGCACGGCTATAGCCTGCACTGCACGGTATTGATGTGCCAGATATTCTAAGCGAGGGGTCAGCGACCCTCCCAAAGCGGCGTGCCAAGATTTACCTCTTCTGGCCTGGGCTGCACCACTGTCCCGGGATGGGGGGGGGAGGGGCTCTCTCTTGGCCTCCTGCCCTGGGGCTCCACACTGGCAGGGAGGGGAGGAGCAACGCGAGTGCTTCGCCAGAAGCTGGATGTGGCACAGAGCTTCAGGGCTTCCTCCCACCAGGAAGCCGGCGCTGGCTCCAATCTTGCAGGGGGTGCGATGATGAATTACCAGCACAGGCTGGGGGGTGGCTTGGTGTGGGGTGGATTTCAGGGAAATGGGCAAGGCAGGGGTGGGAGCCTCTGGAGGGGTTCAGCCCTGCTGGAGGTGGGGTCCCATGGGGGTCTGGTCCATGACTCCCTCGGCCTCCTGCCAGTGCTGGTGGCTGCATGTGACTTCAGTGCTGTCTTTAGCCCACCTGCTAAAGTGGATGAGAAGCTGGAGATGAGTCAGCATTGTGTCCTTGTAGCCAAGAAGGCTACTGGCATATTGGGGTGCATTAGGAGGAGCATTGCCAGCAGATCTAGAGAAGTGATTATTCCCCTTTATTCAGCTCTGGGGAGGCCACATCTGGAATATTGTGTCCAGCTGTGGGCCCCCCACTATAGAAAGGATGTGGACACACTGGAGAAGGTCCAGCAGAAAGCAACCAAAATGTTGAGGGGGCTGGAGCACATGACCTACGAGGAGAGACTGAGGGATTTGGGTCTGTTTAGTCTGCAGAAGAGAAGGGTGAGGGGGGATTTGAGAGCAGCCTTCAACTCTCTGCAGGGGGGTTTCAAAGAGGCTGGTACCAGCAGTGACAGATGGCAGAACAGGGAGCAACGGTCTCACGTTACAGTACGGGAGGTCTAGGTTGGCTATTAGGAAAAACTATTTCCCTAGGCGGGTGGGAAGTGCTGGGCTGGGTTCCCTGGGGCAATGGTGGAGTCTCCATCCCTAGAGGTGTTTACGTCTTGGCTTGACAAAGCCCTGGCTGGGTTGATTGAGTCGGGGTTGGTCCTGCCTTGGGCAGGGGGCTGGAAGCTTCCTTCTGTGGTCTCTTCTAGCTCTAGGATTCTATGCTGAGGGCACCACGAGGCAAAACCAGAGGTGAGTGGAGTGGGGAGCACCCAGGCTGCAGCGCTGGAGTTGTGCAACAGGGTGGAGAGTGGGAGGCTGGAGGAGGCAGGGACGAGACTCCCAGACAAAGGCAGCGGAGGGGTTGGAAGGCGGCTCCGCATCCCCATCCTCCTCTGAAGGAAGACAGGATCCCAGAGCAAGCCCCTCTACTCCCCGTGGCCACTGCACCCCAGTCCAGCTCCAGCCTGCCCGCAGCAGCCAGCTTGGGGGCACCCCACTTCTCCATGCAGCCTAGCTTCCCCTGGAGCAGCTCCGTTCCGCCATGTGGCGCGGCAGCCCCGCTCCTCCATGCGAGTTGGCTCCCCCTGGAGCAGCTCTGGGCCCCAAAGCAGCCACCTGCCACACAGCTCCCCCTGCCGGGCCACGTGGCTGCCCCAAAGCCGGAACAGAGGCCGGGCTGAGGCTGCCC